TAATAGGTCAGTCGTTTTTAACATCAGCAGTGCGACAGGTCCTCTTGCAGTCCGGATTATCATCGTTCTCTCTTCTAGGAAGAATTGAACACCCTACATTGGATATGTGTCACTGATCGCTTCCCTCCCATTCTGCTCTATTAAACATTGTTAATTGGTGTTGCTAGAAGGACAGAGCTTATTTCGCTGCTGACATGCAAAGACTTGTGTTGGCGACAGCTGTGCCGGAGATGAAAATATTATTTTTCTCATCACAGGTTAATAAATAAATGAGAAATCAACCTCAAGGAAAAGGAGGGGGAGTGGAAAATGTGATGGAGCTGAGGGATTGTTAATCAGCAGAAACGGTTAACAACAGATGCACAGCTATCAATGTGAATGTTGGTTGCTGTAATGTATATATATCTTTCCCCTAATTTATATAGCCTTGAAATGTTTTCCCCTTAACAGAAAACATTGCACATGAATTCCTGCTCCTGTACCCAGGGGCGTATCTGCCGCGAGGCAAACAAGGCGTTTGCCTGGAGCGGCAGATTCCCTGAGAGCGGCACTTGCTGTGCTTCTCTTCCCTTGATAAATGTTATTTATCAAGGGAAGAGAACCAGAGGCTATCGTAGCGGCGGGGACGGCGGGTTGCGGCAGTGTGCAGCAGGCAACGGCGCTTTTTAATGCCCGGTGAGTGACCGTCGGAGGTGGTTGTCTATCAGCTTGGAGGCGGCGTCATCAGTACGGGGGGGTGCTGATAGTAACGATGGGGGGGGGGCGGCGTTGCTGTTTTGCCTAGGGCAGCAGCAATTGTAAATACACCGCTGCCTGTACCCAGATTTATGCGGAGGTGCTCTTTAAAGGGTTATTAAAGCCTCAGCTTTTTTTTGCATATATATAGTGCTAGCAAGCAGTAGATATATGCAAAAAGTTTTTTTTCAACGCTTTAACAGCGATTTAAACGTACCTGTGTCTTCCCCGCGCGCTCCCGTCCGAAAATTGGAAACTGCCCGGGCGGCCGCAAAGCATCTTGGGGCGGGCGCATGCGCTGTTCACATTTTCGGCCGGGACGCAAAGAGAGACACAAGGTAAGTATATAGACGCGTGACCCGTATGCAGACACGGTGGGACAGGAAGTGCCAGCAAGCTCAGAGGAGTCGGCACTGGATCTTAGACTCGCCGCAGCGCTTGAGGGAAGGCTGAAAACTACAGGAATGAAGAAGATGATCGGATTAAAAGACAAGTGTTTTACTTAACGTTGGGGTGAGGGAAAAAATGTTTTGCCTTTTAATGTCACTTTAAATAAAATCCTGCCTACTACATTTTTGTTGCCATTTCCAGCAAGTAACTCATATATAGAGATTAATAATACCACACGTTACACACATCACAAGGTCGAAGTATGAATGGAATGTCACACCCTACTCGCACAACAAGCACTTATGCATAGTAGGACAGTGAGTTTTGTGGAGGCCAAGGCCATCCGTGTGACCCACACAAATACGGGATGAACGTACAGGCTCTATGCTGATAGTGTCCTATGCTGATAGTGATCCAACTCGGAGAAGATAGAGTAAATACACAGATACCAATTTCCATGAAAAGTGACAGCTAAGACATAGAGGCAGCGAGACAGACATGTATCTGTTTATAAAGCACCAGCATCCTCCTTATTACTATGCAATAGATTCAACTCTGCAATGCTGTAATATTTCATAATTATATAATCGTTTACAAGAAATACTAGGGAGTGTGAAAGCTCCTCCCCAAAAAGATTACAATCTAAAGGTGCCCATACACCTTACGATTATCGTACGATAATCGTATGCGATCGACTTTTCGTACGACAATCGTAACGTGTGAATAGAGTGCCCGACCGATAGTACTGTACAATCGTACGACTTTTGACGGTCAAGCATGTTTGAAAACTTTGGTTGATCGTACGATGTTCGCATGGTTGGTGGCGTTTCCGTCCGTCAAAAGTCGTACGATTAACACTGCGCATGCGCAAACGAAAATAATTGCGGTCAATTACCGCAAGTCGTCCAGGTGTTTTTTTCTAACTACCGCTGATTGAACCTTGCGATAATCGGGGCAGGATGGGGCCGTCGTACGAAAATCGTACGACGGTTCGATCATCGGACGAAAAGTTTCGTACGATAATCGTAAGGTGTATGGGCACCTTTTAAGGTAGATAGATACAAAAGTAATTGGCAATCTACCAATAACTTATATTGCAGCATGGTAAAGAAGGTCAAAGAAATGGGGTGGAGGAGGTCAAGGTCAAATGCCATTACAGGAAAAGAAAAACAATGTGGCGGGGATGCGTGTTAATATCTTGAAAGGGATGGTGAATGCATTATAGCATACAGAATTCCGATCATGCAAGCAGTGAAGTGAAAATTAGGGGACAGAACAGTAGTTCATGAGCAGAAACGTCTTTGACCATGAGGCTGAATGTATGGCAACACGACCTGTCTGTTGCCAGAATCAAAAAAACATTGATCCCCTGAATAGTGGTATTGCCAAATAGAATGTTAAGAATGTGGATGTTCTAACGAATGGTGCATCCTAACGGGAGCTGATGCGGCTTTTCTTTTTTTTTTTTTTTTAACATACTGTCTACTTTGCATGAGTGTATGAAATGAACAGCATGCCTCTCACACGTTGTGTGGGATACGTTTGCTATTTAAATCTTCTCCAAAGCCGAGCTACATCACACCAGCACTGGAACTCATCCAGCCCCAGAAGAGGGGTCAGGCTCAAACTCGTCACCATCTGTCCAGACGTTAATCAGAATTGCGGGTGTTGACGAATGCTGCAGCATGATCCCTCCTCTGTGAAAGATACCAGCAAGGTTTCCCATAGAGTAACATAGAGCAAGAACAGGGCCATATAACAGTAGTGCACCACAACTTCCAGTAGTTTTGCCTCAATGTGACATAGGTTAACATATCCCATTTTATTTTTCTTATTGTTAATTTGGTTTTAAAGCTGAACTTGTGCTGCGCAAACTGTTGGCGCTATATAAATCCTGTATAATAATAATAATAACTTCAGACCTAGATGAATTGTCAGTATTTATTCAAGTGACATATTCGTACAACTACTGTAGAAAAAAAATTGCAAAGTGTTGTAAATAGAAAGAGAAAAAAAAAAAAGCAGCTCTCAAAGCAATACTCGCCTCCACTCCTGCGATGTCCCCGCACTCACCCACTCTCCGATACGGCATCTGTCCTATTCTGTGTTGAATCACACTGGGGGACGTCATGGTACCCTGCACTCAAAATGATACAGAAACAAAGTGACATCATGACTTTAGGAACACACTCTGCATCACTAAGGACAATTCAGCATCGGAACAGAGGTACAAGGCCACCCAAAACCAGCAAAGGTGTAAAGGACCCCATATGCCCTCTGACTGGCCTGAAAACATCATAAAAAGGTGAGTATTAAGCACATAAATGCAAGGATGCTCTGGTAGTGAGGGTGGGGGACAGAGGTTGACCTTAACAAAAAAGTCCAACTCCAGCTAAAGCTTTTCTCTAGTTTTAGAATAGATTTCTGAATAAATAATTTGTCACGGTTTCTTTTAGCACTGCCTGTGACGCCATTGGGGAAATTTCACTTCCCTTCTTGTCCCTATGACAAGGGGACAATAAATAGAGCAGTTGTCATTGGGAGAGGAAGACATAACCTGGCCCCCACCTTACTGGAAAACATTAGAAATTGCCACTTTCTGTCCATGGCATGAGGTGAGAGGAAATTTCATCTGCAAGGACACTGCAGTAAAAACATGACAGAGGCTCTACACCTACCCTGCCCTGACCATTACATACATGTATTATTTAACTCGGCTAGTATAAGTATTTCAATCTTTATATTGACTGCCTTTAATTTGTCTTTTTTTTTTTTGTGGCGGAAAAAAAAATACTCCTAGTCAGTTACTGAAATTGTCACATTTAAGACATCTATAGGAACAATAACTGACCATTGTTTATCCTCTTCCACTACTAGATTGTCACACATTGCACTGTGCCATCAACAGTTGTGTCTCCGTTAAGGCAGTGGTCACGAAATGGCATGTTTTTTAGACCCCTTTTTTATATTTGCGGGCAGCCTAATGTTGTCAGATCTCTGTATGTTTTATCATGTCATTTATATGACGTCATATTTGATATTTGAATACAACATCTTTGTCACAGGGGGGGGTTGTACTGCAGCTGTATTGCAGCGTACAGGAATGGCACCCACCTCGGTCGCTCTCTCTAACAAGCTTTTCCAATTTGTCTTGATCTCACATCGCTTCATTATATTCTGTAGGCTGCAGCCAGTGTCCGAGACTGGAGATGTTTATTGATTGCACGCCGGCGGAAGAGAAATGCCTTATGTCTTTATTAGCATATAGTTAGTGTTGACCTTTGTTCTTCTGCAAAGCGACAAACATGGTTTTGCTGAGCTCAGAAGAAGAGCTGGGGCTTGGAGCCGGACTGCGGTAATGGTGCTGGCTGTCACTCACACCAGAGAAAAGTGTGAAAGAGTGCTTCGCAAAACAAACAGTGTTCTGTTTCAGACCGTGCTTAAACATGCACTTGTTTTTTTGTTTTTTTTTTAACCAGTTGCTGGAGCCAAAGGGCGTTTGGAAAGTATGGTATTGGGGGCCTTGTTAGTTTATACTGAAATTCAGAAAATTCTTGTTTTTTTTTTCCCCTTAAAACTAACCGGAGCACTCATTGAGGGGAATTTATCAAAACTGGAGCAGGCAAAATTTGGAACAGTAGCCCAAAATCAGTTTTGGGAAGAGTTGGCAGTAATGCCTATTTATGGGGCATTTTCAACATGTGAATTATAGTTTTCCTTGTGTTTAAAACTGTGATTTTCAGATTATTATGTTACATTCTGTAAAGTCTAAGTAACTTGTAAAAATAGCATTGGGTACCACTAATTTTATACACTGATGTTTACCTGTACACCACAATCCAACTGAAGTAATAATCATGTGTCCTTTTTCCTAGTTACATCGATGATGTCATTAGCCGAATAGATCGCATGTTTCCAGAGATGACCATCCACTTATCAAGACCCAACGGCTCATCAGCTATGTTGCTGGTAAGTTCCATGTTAGCTGCTCAGCTGAACATGTTTTTTTCCTATTGAAGCTTTCCTGATCTAACCCTTTACTGGTAAAGTTTTTAAACTCTTGATTAAGCTCTTAAAGGGTCTGTTCACTCAGAAGTGATGTTTTTGTTATATTTGAAGCCTGTTGGGCCTAGTCAGCCATTGGCCTCTTATAGGTCTTGAAATCTTTAACACGGAGATCTCCCGTTTATAATTCCCAACTCTATTCCTGTCCACCTGGGAGTTTAGTGCGTTTCTCCCCACAGTTGTGTTTTCTAGCTTCTCCTGTTACAGTCCTAATAATATAAAATAATGGAAATCCCTTCACAATGGCCCAGCATAGGGATCTTACCAATGGAGTCCCCAAGCTGTGAGGTGCTTTATCTCTCCAGCATCTGCAAAAAATGTAAATATGAGGTAGGCTGGCCTTTTGAAATGGGTGCGCATAACCTGTGTACAGGTGACTAACAGACTTGATGGTGAAGTGCAGTGTAAATATATTGCTACAAGGAGCAGTTTCTCCCACCTGCTAGACTTAAAAGAATACTGCTAAGCACTGTTTGCCACATTACAAGGTAAGGTTCACTTTATTCGTAGTCACAGCACACATTCCACAGATTCCTAGTGCTTTCTATAATCATAGAAAACAAATTGTACAGGTTGGCCAGTTAATTATATCAGCCAATTTTACATGACAGCAGTACTCTCATCTTCAGACATTGAGCAAAATTATGTATATCTAAAGTTCTGCCTCCAGAAACTGGCTAAAGAACGGTTTTATTTCAGCCATTTTTTTTAAATAGTACCATAGAGACTTGGAAAGTCTACAGTATTTGAGGAAATTATATTACAGTATGGACTCTTGTGTGGCCTAAACGTCCCACTACAGTATATATTTTCCAAAACAATTTGTATTCAACAAGATAAACTGACCTTCACTTCAGAGTGCTCAGATATTGACACTTACTTATTTGTCTGTGTGCCAGTGGTGGAGGGCGGGGGAATTGAAGGCTCTACTACTCTGATTGGGGTCTCAACAAAATTTTTTTTGCAAAAATGATTTGTATATATGTAGACCAAAAGTCCCATTATTTTACCCATCAGAAATCAGGGCTAATCATTGATGTTGACACACAGCTAAGAGGGTAAAAGGCCTTCAGAGACCTGGTCCTCCCAGGGTAGGCAATGGCTTTAAAGGACCCTCCTAAAACGGATCATTTGTGGAAATTTATGGCAAGTGTATAGTGGCCCCTTAAGTTTCCTTGATTGGATCTAACATCTTGTTCAGAGTTAAGATTATTGCTGCCCTGTAGCGGATTCCCATTGGAGTAATTCAGCCAGCAGCCTGGGGCCTATGACTTAGAGGGCCCATACCACTTTTGCTAGACATCAAGCAATCTCCTTCCCATGGTTTGGATTTCCTGCCTTGCTGTCACCTTGACAGCTGGGTCCAGCTGTGTGCTGCAGAAGGTTAGACAGCAGCGCCTATGTAAATGGAGCTTAAAACACTGTTTGCAAGCTGTATTTACACTATGTTTGCAGGATTAATTGATAAATACATTTGAACAATATTTTTTTGGCTCGTTCTCTTATGTGCTGAATTTAATAAAATTGTTCAGGCCTCCTAATCGCTGATTTTATGGTTCATTAAGCCATGTAAGCAGCTTTGCTTAGGTAGGGAGCCATGAACCCCAAAACATGCTCGGATCCAAGGTTCACACAATCAGTCAATGTCAATGCCACAAATAATTCAAATGTGGAATGCAGTGGACATTATACAACAATACAGAATGAAATCAAAACTTGGGTTTGTGTACCATTTTCCCCAATAATACTTTATGACAATATTGCACATGGTTAGGCTAAAGTTTAAAGGTCACGTTAAGAGGAAGGATTAGGGAGCTAAGTTGTTAAGGTCTGAAGTTTAGGCATTAGGTTGAAGTTTAGATATCGGGGTTTATTTATTGTTTAAGTTGGAGGTTAGGGTAAATTTTAAAGGATTATGATTAGAGGTCAGGTTGACAGGAAGGGGTTACAGTTACGTGTTAGGGTGAAGGGTACAGTATATTATTAAGTGACCCATATATTAAGCAAAAAAAAAAAAACAGAGCGGCCTGCTTTAAAAATGATGCATTGCGCGCCATTCAGCACAGTGAACAAAAAAAGCAGAGAAGAGCTGGTCACCTGAAGTCCAGTCATGATGTTCTCTCTGCAGTATTACATAGAGAGAAAAGCGGGCACCATAGGCTTCACACCCCAGCCTGCATTTTATGAATTACTCTTACAATGCAGACCGCAGTGCACAGTAAACACGGCATTGTCCACTGGAGAGATTATAGGTAGGTCTCTTTTAGTTTTAGATTGAGATAGAGTTGTTATTGTTTTTCATGGGCCGTATGCAATGCATATCATTGCCAAATACATATCCCCAATGTAAACGTACTCAAGCATAATGTTATTTTGGTTCTGAAAGCTTTTGAGTTGCTGGTCCAGCACCAAAAACATCTGCACCTGTCCTGAGAATCAGCATACTATGCTGTACAGCATTAATGGATATGGGCATTCCTCGGTGAATTAGGGCACAGCACTCATTTTCCTTATCATATAAATTCCATTAGCTCATGGAGTGCAAGAAATAAGCATTTGTGTTTTCCTATGGGAAAAAAACCCTGCTTTGTCAGGCAGAAACAGCACTCCTAGCAGTCCTATTTGAGACTATTACTTGAGGATACCTAGGCTGCTCCCTGCTGCTTACTCGTGTGTGAAAGATGCTCGGTGACCCGAAGACAGAGACAGTCACACTTCCTTAGCATGAAGGGACACACTTCAGGTGTTTTAACCCATTACAGCAGCTGGTCTTATTGTTTGAATGTTCCTAGATTTCCAGGTATCATTCTTCCTTCCACCAACATTAACAAAATACAGTTTTTATTAGGGCTGCGGGTAACGATTATTTTCAAAATCAATTAGTTAGCCGATTATTAAGTTCGATTAATCGGATAAAAATAGTAAAAAAATGGCTCCAGTGATGGAATTCTAGTTTGTATTGAGATTGTAGTCTATCACGGGAGCAAGCTTGGAGCGGTGACCACTTTACAACACACACAAGGGCCAATGCAGAATACCACCAGCTATAGAGAAACAACAAATCCCAGCAATAATGCATTATACAGCAGCACAATGCAGAATACCAGCAGCTATAGAGGAACAGCAAGGAGAGGAGCAGAGGCATACCCTCGGCTTAAGCGGCGTGTGCGGCTTGTGTGTGGAGCCGCGAATAGGCTAACTAATCGATAGCAAACTAATCGATGAGGGAAAACGTTGACGTTTTCCATCGTCGATTTTAATCAACTCAATCGATTAGTTGTTGCAGCTCTTCTTTTTATTACTATAACTGGCTAACAAGTTGCCATTTTCTTCTGCCTGCCAAAAAAATGCTTATTGTAGGTTGGGATTTTGTATTAAGTATTCGTGTTTGTCTTTCTGAATCAGTGGAAGGCAGGTTTTTTTCACCAACAAATTATTTTGTGATAACTAAATCACACAAAAGAACTTCCCCCATTGTTATCTTCATTAGTATTGCACATCTTATCTGTAACTATAACCTAGCTTGTGCACATCTGACAATTTATCCGGCAATCCATTTTCAGATTTAAAGTGTATGTGCCCTCCTTAACATCTTGTCTTGAATTATATTGTGATTGTAATGTCTTCCTTACATTGTAAAGCGCTGCGCAAACTGTTGGCGCTATATAAATCCTGTATAATAATAATAATAATGTTGCCCTCATTTTTTTTTATGTGTTTGTTGTAAAATGTTTATACTAAAGAAAAAGTCTTCAACTGTTTCAAGCACTGCATCCATTAGAATTTCCCAGTTGGTCCTGCCAGGCTCTCTTCTTCCTTAATCTAAACTGGCCACGCAAACCACAGAAGTAGATCTGTGCTTGCGTAGTCCGTTTGCATGCCAAAGCTTCCTGTTCAGGAGTACAGGAGGTTGTTCAGATGCACAATACATCTTCCGTAGTCTGTACAGCTATCATGCCCCCTGTCCATCTCTGTTTTTTTTTATTTGGCAGCTGTTCCACCCAGAGCCTCCCTGTCATACTGCAGTTGCTTCTAGTCATCAGAACTGTGGAGCAGAATGTACTTCCCCCATTTGTGTGTGACATTTGAACTGCCTGTCCCCTGCTACCATGAAGTGGAAATGAACCAGTGTGTGACTGCCATTGTCAATGAGGCCTTATCTGTTATTGGCTACAAACACCTTCCTCTTGGAAAGTGGTTTCACTTTTTTACTGGGTTGGGATTTCATAATTAAAGTGACACTAAACTCAGGAGCTAAATCTTAAAAATGCATTCAAGTACCTGAACTATTCACAAAAATGTATCTTATTTGTGTATCACTCAGCTGGAAATCCTCAAATCATCTCTGAATTGGTGCCGACACTGTCCTTCCTTCTGGAGGGTGGTTACTTTTGTAACCCATAATCCCTGTGTGTGTTGTAAAGTAGCCACCGCTCCAAGCTCACTCCCATGGTGGACTATAGGATCATGTTTAGTTTACTAATTTATATTTAGATTGTAGTCCAACATGGGAGCAAGTTTGCAGAATTGGCTACTGTACAACACACAAAGGGACCATGGGCAGCAAAAGTAACCACCCTCCAGAAGGAAGGACAGTGTCGGCACAAATTCAGAGATGATTTGAGGATCTACAGCCTAGTGATACACAAATAAGATACATTTTTCTTTTTAGTTACTTGAATGTATCTTTAAGGTTTAAAGTGGTATTAAA